CAGGTGCCTTCCTAGTAGTAACAAGGTTCGCTACTAGAAACAAGTGCATCGCTCCACAACATCTCTGTTGAGGTCTTTGCTCGCTTCGAGTATGTCGCGCCGCTCCTCATTGGAGTTGACAAGCTCCGCCAACGAAATCAAGCTTCGTCCTGCAGATTTTGATGTGGCCATTGGGGCTCCTCGCGCCAACGACACGAACAAGTGAAAGTCCTGCCCACTTCCACAGCTGGTGTTGAAGTCACTTCACTCTCAGATATCTTCAAAATCCCATTGCAAACATTCCCTCAGTTCAAGATGCAGCTCCTTTTTTCTAACAAGCTGTCAACAAATAGATGGCAAATAAGAAGAATGGGCCTGAAGAATGTCTCCCACCAACGTGATTGACCCCTTGTGCATCATAGTGTGTCCCGGTACCATGTCACACTGGACAAGAGAACTTAAGCTAGTTGAGAAACTAAAGGTTGTGCCAGTTGGAGGGCTTTGGCAATGGCGCTTGGAAACATCTATGTTGCCACTGTTTCTGTCTGCTCTTCTCTAAGGTTGCACTTTAAGATTCGAAAAAGAGATATAAAGGCACTTTTTACGGGGATAGTAATTAGTTTGGACCCACCCGCTAGGATGTGTCGTAGTTGTTTTCGTGCAAGTGGGATTGACATCTCTCAGTCACCTTGCAACAAGCTACAAATAGAACCTCTCAAAAGTAAACGGACATCCATCGATGAACCTCACAGCCAATCACCAAAGGTACCTTCTTTGCCAAAAAAACCTCCGAAAGCAGTCGAAAACGGAATCACCGAATCAACCGAGACACGCCTGGGCTGCTTGTTTCTGGCATTCGTTGCGGTGGTCGTGGTGGCACTGGCGGGCCCCATGGGTGGGGCCCACCGCCACAGCCTCCCCAATATCCCCAGCCTTGGTGGCGGTTGATCCGGTGTCTGGACGAGGCCAAGCATGAATGACCAAAAGAATGGCCAGAACGCTTTTGGCTTTTCTGACTTTGACATTGATCGGTTGCGGCCAGAAAGACTTTCAGTGTGTTTAGTTGTAGATTTTTTGGTTTCCGGATAAAGATCTAAAGACGCTACTAGGAACAAAGGGCATCGTTACTAGGGGCTCCTGGCATCGCTACTAGGAGCATTCTTACAACTAGGAACAAGGACGCTACTAGGAGCTTTCCCTCTAAAGATCCTTCAACTCGCAAGAGGCATCTGATGCTGAGGCTCAAACCTGGTGACTTGGCGTAGTGCGGATACCACATGGCACAATCTACGAATGAACACACAAATCTAGTAGCTTCTTGTTACTACTAGTAAGGCACTTGTTACTAGTAGCGATGCACTTGTTCCTAGTAGCTTCTTGTTACTACTAGTAAGGCACTTGTTACTACAAGCGATGCACTTGTTACTAGTAGCATTGGAGGCCTCTCACTGCTGAACCTTTTGACGTGAAATCTCATTTTCCCGATTGGTTTCTTAACGCGGCGACTGCAAAGCCAAACGCGGTCTCTCCATCTTTTTCCCATTCCCAAGCCAAACGCTTTTGACATTGCCTGGCCATCTGGAGAGCATGGCCACCGCAGCCTTTTGCGCGGTTTTGAATCTCTCGGGCTGAGTTCCGTCGAAAGACCTGGAAGCTCACGATGTTCCTGTTCGATTGTCACTCTGTTCCGAGAAGACCCACTATCTGACACTATCTACATTCCAGCATTGGCTCAAAAACATCCCAGGAGCATGCCTCTGTGTCATGCGATCTTTTGACCTGTCCTGCTCCTTTGATATTTGAGCAAATTTGGCAGGGCTCTAGGATTCATTCCTTTGATTTTGTGAGCCAGCACTTTGTCACAAGTCGTGACTAACCCTCAAACATCTTTATCCACATGCTTGTCTCAACTCACCCTCAGTCCATCTCGTCAAAGATCAATGCCTTGCGCTTCAGATCAGAAACGTCTCTAAAAGAGGGGGTTAAGAAGGGCTTCTTGCGGGAAGCGATGGCCTCCAACCTACTAGCGTCCTTGCTCCCAGTAGCGATGCCAGGAGCCCCTAGTAGCGTCCTTGCTCCGAGTAGTAAGGCCAGGAGCCCCGAGTAGCGATGTTGTTTGCTCCTACTAGCGATGGCCTCCCAGCTCTGCATACTTGACAGGTCTTGTTGAAATACGGAAGATCAGTTTGGAAGTTGCCACATCCGCAATGAGCTCCATCGCTAAGTTGGAGGCCATCGCTAATGGGTTGGAGGAGACGCTATTAGGTTGGAGGCCATGCCTATTAGGTTCCTTTTGCTATTATTAGGTTGGAGGTCGTCGCCATCAGGATGACACATCGTGTTTGGCTCCCGTCGAATCGCACCAGCACGAGAAGTGCACCGCCGCAGCATTGCACGGCCTCGGCACATTAGCGACCATTGAGTCAATCCCTGAAACTCCCAGGAAGTAGCACAGCTCCAGTAGCAAACTATAGCAAGCTCTGAGCAAGCTCGCATGAGGGGTTTTGGTCCATACCTCCACCCAGCTTGGCATGGCAAAAGTTCAGCAGCCCACGTATGTTCGCCCACAAAGTTGATGACTTCGAAGACTTGAAGAAAGAAAGGTCCAACAACGAGCAAACACAATAAGAATAGACATATAAGAAATGCATCCATGCATCTCCATGTTGTCTTTCTGTCCAAAGAGTTGCTTCTGCATCTGCAGAGTGGCAGATCTGGGTTTCCCGTGCTCTCCAGCCTCGGGCCTTCCACTTCTCGTACTCTTCAGGGTCCGAGAACATCTGAGGAGGCGTGAGCTTCGGTGAGCTTGCAGATTCCAGAACTGAATTCTCCACGGACCACGCTGAATGCCCCCAAGTCCGAGCGAATTCAAATTTCCCAACAGGGGTCACACATGGCCTCTTGACATGAAATATACAACCAAGAAAGAAATGCCGATGCTGCATGATGCTGCGACACTTGTGGCTTTGATCGACTTTCTTTGCGTAACATGGCTCCACACTTGGCCAACTTGGGACTCGTGGCTCAAGCGGCAGCGACCCAAAAGTCCAGGCCTTTGTATTGTAGATGGAAGACAGAACGCCCTGAGAAGCACATGGAAGCAAAATGCAATGATATCAAAAGGCTTGTCAGCAAAAGCACTTAAGACATGTCAAAACTACTCAAAACTAAGTGCAGCAAGACAATTGTATCTATATGAAATGACATCCCAAAGATCTGGAAAACACATGATTTCCAATACTTATATAACATTACCCCCCAATATAATTCTCCCCGCAAAAAGGAAAACACACACATTGTTCCAATACAATCCACTTAAAGAGTATGCTAAAACGGAAACTGTTGACTCAAACTTAATTGAATGTGGGAGAAAACCTCGAAACAGGTGTTGCTTCATTTGTGTTCCAACGTGTTTGATATTGAATTCGCATTTTGTTGCTTAGACATTTGTCTATAGAGTCTTTGTGTTTGTTGGTCCAGCCTACTTGTGAAGACTTGTTTGAATATGTTGTTTGAGTTGTTTGAGTTCTTTTTTGATGTCTTAAGATGCTTTTGTCTTCAAGTCCTTGAGACTTTTTGTTTCTGGGATGTCTTGGGTCCTCTTTCTCTTGGGACCTGCACAAGCATTCTTGAAATCCAAAACATGCTTCCAAGAGGAAGAGGGAAGGAAGAGGAACATCCCATCTTCATCTGAACAGGGGGAAGCAAAAAAGGATCATGTTCTGAAGGCCCCAAAGAATCACTTCAAACTTCAAACATTTATCGTCTACTTTAGGAGGCTCCCCGTTCTCTTGGATCTGCCCTTCTTCCTCCAAACAGGGAAAGGTCCTTGCAGTGAAACACACTGTCTCAGATTGTGCTAGGTTCGACACGTCAGGTGCGTCGGTATCCTCATCCTCCTCACTGGATGAGTCCTCACGGACGAGGACGGACCAAAGCAGAGCTACACAACTCGACGGACTGGACCGCTTCGAGTTGGTGAACGAGACCGCTTCGATCCCTGAGAGTCCGGTGATTCCTTTCGAGTGATTGCTTCCCGAGCTCCTCTGCCAGGTCGGACGACTTCAAGGCGCAGGGGAACATGAAGGCATCGGGCTTCGGATCCCTCGGATCGCGTCAGCGTGGCACTTCAAATCTGGAAATGGTGAAAGCCAGAACACGGTCACGGTCGTTAGCTAGCAGAAGATAGTTTTAAAGTTCCCCAAACACGGAACGAGTCTGCAAAAAATGCGGAGCCTTGCTGTCGGTAAGTTGATGTTAAACAAGAGATGAGCGGCAAACCTGCAGTGAATTTGTTTTGCTACTTTGAATATTGCACAAAACACTTCCAGCATCAAGTGCCCCGACGCCGCATCCTCCTGACATGTTTCCTGGCAGACAAGCAATCGCAGAAGGCCGAGGACATTGACAAAGCATTTGCTAAGGTTCGCTATTAGGTTGGCCAACCTACTAGGGATGGCCTCCAACCTGATAGCGATGGCCTCCAACCTAATCGACATGGCCTCCTTCCATATAAAATAGAACTATGACTACCCGCAATAATGGTGTCTGTTGGTGGTACCTCCTGTTAGTGGTCTGACCCTTGGTCATAACCTGGGCTGGTGCCCACAAAAGCCTCTGCAAAACCTGCATGATATGATTTAGAGTTTCGACCAAATAGACTGGCTCGAGTCAAGTCTCTCCTCTTGAGAAGTTGGTGAACCAATTGTTTATCTATCACTGCGCGTCTGTGCGGGAAGTCACGGGAAAGGACTCTTGTTCTCTTCGGAGCTTCGGGCCTCAGCCTCTGTGTTTTGTGCCTGGTGAGCCAAGCCGGTGCTTTGAGATGAATTCTGAAGGTCAGGAGCCCCTAGTAGCGTCCTTGCTCCTAGTAGTAAGGCCAGGAGCCCCTAATAGCGTCCTTGCTCCTAGTAGCGATGCCAGGAGCCCCTAGTAGCTTCTGGGCTTGTAAGTTTTTTTCCTTGACATGATAGAACAGGTTCACATGCGGAAATGTTGTGGCAATGTTCTGTGGTTGCTACAGCTACTTTGAAGGTTTCTGAGCCATTTGGCCCACCTCGCAACGCACAACATGAACCAACTCTCCAATGAAAAGAGAGAAACTATGCAAGTTGTACAAATGAACACCCTAAGGTGACACAGAACCAAGCAAAAGGAGGATCAAAAGGGCAAAGATGAGTCAAGTACGTCCCACATGGAGCCACACATGTTGCCCTTTCTGCTTTTCCGTCCGGTGCCTCGCAAGGGTCCGCCATGACGGCCCAGGAGGCAAGGAAAGCGCCGGCTGCGCTGGTTACGAGGCTCACAGTGGCGCAGCACGAGCCGAAAGGATCAAGAAGCTACTAGGAACAAGAACACGATACTCGTGTGACAGCCCAAATGCGATGCTCAGTAGGTTCGAGGTCATCGCAAACCCAAAGAGATTCTCGTGTTGAACCGCCAAGCAAACAAACATGAGCTGAAAGGAAATCATGATGTCGTCAACACCTCTTGCAATCATATCCTATTGCAATGTGAGTGTACTCTTGTTAACTCTGACCTTTGTTTCCTTTCACACAGACCTTCAGGCCGCAACGGCCCTTTCACCTTTAATCTCTCTCGTCCCTCTTTTTCACCAACTTCCTGCGTGCCAAATGGGTCTCTTGGATTCGGTGTCAAGACATGACCATGTCCGCCGAAAATGGCACCAATTCTTAAAGCGGTCTTGTTCCAAAATCATTTGCATTCCAGTCTCAAGAGCGTTCTTCTGAGGAAGCAGTAACAAGGGCATCGCTACTAGGAGCAAGAAGCTACTAGGGGCTCCTGGCCTTGCTACTAGGAGCAAGGACGCTACTAGGAACAAGTGCATCGATACTAGTAACAAGTGCCTTACTAGTAGTAACAAGAAGCTATTAGAAACAAGTGCCACGCTAGTAGTAACAAGTGCCTTACTAGGAGCAAGGACGCTACTAGTAACAAGAACTCGGAGGAACGCTCACGTCTCCGAAAGGGCTACTAGTAAAGGGTATCTGAGGCGAGTAGCATTGGCCTATTTCGAACTAAGAAAATCCCAAGCCAAAACTGCCACTGTGCTACCCAGCAGAATTGTAATCTTGACATAATCATATGTATATACCACTCACCCACAATTTCTTTTGCTCAATCGGGGGAAAGCATCTCCAGCACATCTTCCAGAAATGAAGGTTGAACTCCGGAATCTTAGTGGACGCCACTAGGAACAAGTGCATCGCTACTAGTAACAAGTGCCTTACTAGTAGTAACAAGAAGCTACTAGTAACAGGTGCCACGCTAGTAGTAACAAGTGCATCGCTACTAGTAACAAGTGCCTTACTAGTAGTAACAAGAAGCTATTAGAAACAAGTGCATCGCTAGTAGTAACAAGTGCATCGCTACTAGTAACAAGTGCCTTACTAGTAGTAACAAGAAGCTATTAGAAACAAGTGCATCGCTAGTAGTAACAAGTGCATCGCTACTAGTAACTCCAGAAATGAAAGAATTTCAGACGATTGAGACATGTCTTGACAACGCCACAGCGGACCCGAGCGAAAAAACAGCCATCATCTGAGGCATCTGCAGTTAGAACACCTAAGCCTAAGGCCTAAGAACACTATGACCGCAAAATGGGAACAAGAAGCTACTTGGGGCTCCTGGCATCGCTAATAGGAGCAAGGACGCTATTGGGGCTCCTGGCCTTACTACTAGGAACAAGAAGCTACTAGTAAGAAAGGAATACGTCACAGATACACATCGATACACAGCTGCCAGTGATGATGCCATCTTTGGGCTTGCAGTTAGGACCAAGCCTGGCAACAAACGAAGAAACGAGTTCTCTTCGGGCTCTTCGCTTCGTTTCGTTTGACGGTTTGACCCGACCACCTCGGAACGAGCCAGGTTTTCAGAGCAGAGTTGGTCACATCCAACCAAATCCTCATCATATGGACGGTACTAGGAACAAGTGCATCGCTACTAGTAACAGGTGCATCGCTAGTAGTAACAAGAAGCTATTAGAATTAGTATTGGAATAAGGAACAAGAAGCTACTAGTAGCGATGCACTTGTTCCTAGTAGCGTCCTTGCTCCTAGTAGTAAGGCCAGGAGCCCCTAGTAGCTTCTTGTTCATGTTTATCTCAAAATCTTCCTAAAGTCTTGAAACAAAAATGAACACTTGCATATTAGAAGCACACCAGGAGTCTGGATGTTCTCCTCCCAAACTCGCAAAAGCTTCCTCACCTTCCTCACATGTCTTCTCTATTAGGTTGACAGTCATCGCTATTAGGTTCCTTTCTCATGAAATTCATCCTCATGAAACTCATTCTCTTTTCCTCACAGTCTCCTGCATCCGACGCCCCACAGTCACGCTCGCCTTCTTGTTGAGATGCTCCGATCCATCCCACTGCGTGAGGTCCGGTGGATTTTCGATGTACCTGAGGATGGAGCCACGAAGCGAAATGCCGACACGAAATGCTACGAAGTGAAAAAACACGAAGCCTTAAACTCTTCGTTTTTCGTTTTTGCTTCATTTTGCTTCATTCTTGATATATCTTGAGATCCTTTTCTTCTTGATTCTTCGCCTATCTCTCAAATGTTGCAAGGAAGCCCTTCCTGGATTCTGTGCGAAGCCACTCTTTAGGAGCAAGGACGCTACTAGGGGCTGTTTGAAGCCTGAGCCCCTGGCAGGTCACACAGGTCAATCATGTGCGAAGAGGGCTTGTCCTGGCGAGGTCTTGCGCTTTGGCAACCCGCCATTTTGGCATCTTACTCTTTGCTAAAACCGCTCTAGTAACAGGTGCATCGCTAGTAGTAACAAGAAGCTATTAGAATTAACAAGAAGCATCTTACTCTTTGAAACCGTGATCTCATCCAAAACATTTCTCTATTCCTTTTCTTCGTCCCTTTCTAAGTTTTTGTTGGGCCTTCAATTTCCCTTCCTTGAGACCTTTCTTTTGGAAGCGTTCTTGTTTCTAGTGGTTTTAATGCGGTATGGAGAAGGCGTTCTTGTCCTCATGGTTTTGCTGTTCTGGTTCGCTCAAAAGATTTTTTCGACATCGCATTCTCAGTCTTGTGGCATGGTTGTCTAGCCTCTTGTTGCGGTTCTCGTTTCTGTGTCCAACCAGAATAAACGGAACAGCCTGGCGCTCCAGACCCGCCTGCGGGCAAGGGCCCTCGTCGTACTGGACGAAAATTCGGTTCGCTTGCTCAAAAAGGACCTCCGCCAAGCGGTGTGAACTCAAGCCAGCCACAGGAACCCTAGCCATTTTCTAAAAACAACACACAATTGTTCTTGTGGCAAGAGAGTGAGCTTAGGGTTTGCCGGACAGCGGTGGCAAAGAAGATTCTGTTGTTGAAGAGGAACTGTGGCAGTTGGAGAGGATCCTGAGAAACCACGGCAGTAATGAAATGCCTCTAACTCCAAAGCCATGTTGGTGTACAATGGATTCCGGTCTGTCAGACGTCAGGACAGAACATGTGACACATCGGTCCAAAGCAGAAACCTACAAATGCCCCTAGTAGCTTCCTGTTCCTAGTAGTAAGGCACTTGTTTCTAATAGCTTCTTGTTACTACTAGTAAGGCACTTGTTACTAGAAGCGATGCACTTGTTACTAGTAGCTTCCTGTTCCTAGTAGGCCAGGAGCCCCCAGTAGCGTCCTTGCTCCATTGTTCCTAGTACCGTCCAAAAATGACCGAAACTAGGGACTCTGTAGGGCATCTCCTGAACTGAAACTGCCCGAACGTTGGCTCGCCCCGCCGGGACCCGTCCGGGGACCCGTCCGGCCCTGTCGGGCCTTGGCTTCTTCGAAGTGGCCCTGTCCAAAATGCTCGATGGCCTCCTCGTGAAACCTGAGAGAAGCGAGCGTTGCAAGCGCGTTGCAAGCCTCTAAGAGCCCAACAAGTTCCAAAAACCAATGCTTGACACGTCCCTGCAAGAGTTCTCAAAAGTCTGGCGGCACAAACTTAGATTCTTTGTAGTTGTCATTTTCCAAGGCAGCGAGAAAAAAACACAAAGAGAACAAGTATATATCCATGTCTGAACTCATTCAACAGCCTTGCTTCTTGCTGAACTCTTTCACTCATGACACAAACCAACAAACATGCAAGCTTACAAACTATACAAACATCACTACAGAGGGTCTATCCTGCCCACAGAGTCTGTCGTCCATCCTCTCTGTCCCACTAATCAACATCCGGCTTCAAAGCCGCCTCAAACAATCTTTTAGAATGTGAAGGAAAGAGAAAGAAAGTCCGTTAACCAGTCTCCCTTTCCGGTTTTCGCAAGGATCTTGGTTCAACACTCTCATCACAACGTTGCGAACATCTTAATATCCCTGCCTTTAACAGTCGGTCCCTTTTGACTTCTAAGCTTCCGTTCTTGACTTTCTTTCTTCCTCTATGTTTCCTCTATTAGGTTGGAGGCCATCGCTATTAGCGTTTCTGTTCCTCTATGCCTTCCTTTCTTGCTCTATACCTTCCTCCATTCCTGTCTTTTTCCAGTCGGTCGGACTCAGTCCGATCAATCTGGGACCCCAACTCCGCGGCTTGTTCCAAGTCCGGCGGCACTTGTCCTGGGAAACATCATGATGAATGAATTACTAACAAATAGCTACTAGGGGCTCCTGGCCATACTACTAGGAGCAAGTAGCTACTAAGTTTGACATGGTTTGACTTCGGAAGCCTTCATGAAAAGGCGCAGTCGGTGCATCACTCGTCCGTCCTTTGCGGCCAATCACCTCCAGCGTGTGCGTGGGCGTCGTACGGCCTTTCAACACAAGCCTCAGGCTCGAGAGGTCCGGTCCGAAGCCAAACAAGCACGTTCTTCGGACAAGCGTCCTTGCTCCTAGTAGCGATACCCTTTGTTACTAGTAGCTCCTTGTTCCAAGTAGTAATGCCAGGAGCTACTAGTAGTAGTAGTAGCATTCAAATGAAATAAACGAAATAGAGGTGTAAATGCTCTTCCAGTGCAAATGGCACCCAATTCATAGCCCAGCTGAACTGCTCTAAGCTCCGGGCTTTCCAACGGTCCTGGCCACAAAGAGATCTCCCACCGAAGACTGCAATGTCTCAGCACCTCAGAGAGAATGGAATATGTCAGTTTTGAAATGGGCATAACGAGAGAAGACTTTGACGCAAAGCTCTGAGGAACACCCTGACGACGTCCAATTCGACAAGGTACAATACATTTTGGATGACGATTTTTAAGTGCATCGCTTCTAGATCTTCTAGTAACAAGTGCCTTACTAGTAGTAACAAGAAGCTACTAGGAACAAGTGCCACGCTAGTAGTAACAGGTGCCACGCTAGTAGTAACAGGAGCAAGAAGCCGATTTTGAAGGGCTCTTTTCAGCCGATTGGCCTCTCAGGGCCCGGGCTCACCAGAAGCTGCGTGCCATAACGCGTGTTGAGGCTCTTGAGCCGGGCAGCCAGATTGACACCGTCACCCAGTAGACCGTACCTCACAATTTGGGCGACTCGGTTCACCAGGACGGTACTAGGTCCTAGTAGCTTCTTGTTCCTAGTAGCGAACCTTGCTCCTACTAGTAAGGCACTTGTTACTAGAAGCGATGCACTTGTTACTAGTAGCTTTATTGTTACTAGTAGTAAGGCCAGGAGCCCCTAGTAGCGTCCTTGCTCCTAGTAGCGATGCCCTTTGCTCCTAGTAGCGAACATTGTTCCTAAGACTTGAGACCGAATTAAGGATGACAAGCAAACAGAATTGGGTGTGTGTCACAAACAGAACTCCTGGTTTGAGGTGATTGCAAGGATGAAACTGATTGAACAATCCAACCCCTTAAATTGGGGATAGTTACTGTATCGGATACCATAGGGCACCTAGTGTTCGCACTTAACCTTCCTACTCCGGTAAGCAGACTTCATCCAAGAAGCCTTTGCAACATGATCTCATGATCTTGAAGGTCTCAACTCTACCAGTCGATAGATTTGCTAGTGTCCTGGGGTTCTGTGCGAAGACTGACCCCCAACAATCGACACAGGCTATCTTGTGCTAAGAGCCAAGTGGCCACAAGCTATCATGTGGCACTTGTTACTAGTAGCTTCTTGTTCCTAGTAGTAAGGCACTTGTTTCTACTAGCTTCTTGTTACTACTAGTAAGGCACTTGTTACTAGCGATGCACTTGTTACTAGTAGCTTCTTTTTTTTTTAAAGCTGGGTGTGTGGGCTTATTCCACTGTGACCGTATTGGTTCTCCCACTGTGGTCCCGTGCTTCATGCGCGTAGGTGAGCCAATGTTGCCAGCTAAGACTTCGCCCGTGTGCACACTGCATTGCAGGTCTCAGCCGATGTTAGACAGTGCGACAGCCAGTGGTCTCATTTGATCCAAGTGTAATAGAACAAGAAAAGCAAAAACGCGGCCAATGTTGTGACCAATAAGACAAAATAGCCTTCATTGGACTAGTAACTAGTAGGCCTCCAAATTGCCTTATCCCTATTCATAATCAAAGGTGCCAATGGTCCAGGTTCAAGTCCTCTCTCCTAATGAACAATAGAAGCCGTAGGCACTATTCCTTTCCTTCAGTTCAAAGTCTCTGGCTGACGGGTTCGTCCTCCAAATCAGCCTCAGCGCTACTAGGAGCAAGGATGCTACTAGTAGCTCCTGGCCTTACTAGGAACAAGAAGCTACTAGGAGCAAAGGGCATCGCTACTAGGAGCAAGGAAGCTACTAGGGGCTCCTGGCATCACTACTAGGAACAAGAATCTGCTATGCTAGGACAATAATTCTTTCTCATGCTCCATCTCGAAAAGCTCTGCCGACAGCAACACACGCACGCTGCGAGAAGAGAACCTTGAATTGTAGAAAAGGACTGATGGTAGAAGCAAGTCTGACAGGGTAGACTCTGGTGCTGTGTATTCCAAAGTAAACACTCTCTTGGAAGCCCGGCGGAGCTTTCAATGGCTGCAATGGCTGCATTCACAGCTGCTAAGTTGTGCATTTCAATCTGCGCAAACGATAGCTTGGCAGGTTTTTTGTCCATATCACCAATGAAGTCTTGTAGGGTCAAGCATTGCTCAATGTGCTATTCTCAGCAATCAAATCAAACTAATCCATATGGATCCACGTAGTGGTTCTTCAAGATTGAATCTCCAGTGACTCCTTAGGACTTGTACCAAAAGGCAAAACACCAAAACGTGCGCCTTCTTGGGAGCGTTGAAGACTGCCAAGACCTGCCAAGCGTTGAATGTCTTCAAGACTGCCTCATTTTCGAAAACGTCCTTCAACGAGGGGAGTTGGCGGAGTTGGACTGCCAAAAGCCCTCTGACCCTTTGTTACGTTCGTAGCTTTTTTGTTCCTAGTAGTAGGGCCAGGAGCTCCTAGTAGCGTCCTTGCTCCTAGAAGCGATGCCCTTTGTTCCTAGTAGCGCCCTCTGCTGACTTGGGGAACAAACCGAACTAACGCAGCATTTCTGAACGCGCACGGCCTCGTCGCCGATGAACTCCAGGAGCGTCCCACCATTCTGCTCAAGAGCCTGGTTCACGGCTTGCAGCACCAGCTCCAACCTTAGGAAAAAGAGACGAACAGCAAAGACTTGCCTTCTGTGTTCTTCTTTTCCCTTTTGTTGATAAGCAAAGACAAGATCAAAGAGTTCGGAACAAGCAAAAATAAAAGAGGATCCAACGGTCACTGGCGCCTTCTTGTATGGCTTTCAGGGACGGCGGTGAGGTGGAGCCAAATGCAATGAGTAGCGTGAAAAACATCTTGCCAAAAGCTACTTGTAGCGAAGGGCATCGCTACTAGGAGCAAGGACGCTACCAGGGGCTGCTGGCCTTACTACTAGGAGCAAGGACAAAAACTAGGAGCTCCTGGCCTTACTAGTAGCAAGAAGCATTCGCCCAAGTTGGGATGATGGGGTGGCAGCGTGTTGTCGGAGGGGTGTGGGCGCTCTGATCACAAGTCTGCTTGGCTTTGGGGTGAGTGAACTGGAGGATCGATTTGGCAGCAAAGGGCTCGCTTTGGACACTTTTCTGTATGTTTCTTTGTTGCTAGTCTTCCAATCCTTGGAACACCCCTGACCACTCTCTCCATTATGGTATCTCAAAGACACTCAGTAAATGAATCACCACACCGCCGATGGCCTAGCTGCCTAGCTTCAACACCTTACATCACCTTCTTGGGAATCAAACAATCCTCTTCATCGCCTTCCGTCTTATCAGCTCAGCGGCAGAGAGAGCACCTCGGTGGGATCCTTGCCCTTGCAAATGTCCTTGAAGCCCTGAGAGTTGGTGATGCCGACAAAGCTTGGATGAATTTAACAAAGAGTTTGGCGATTCACATGATTTCACCTGGAATGATGAATTCTGGATCTTCAGATTTGACATTCGACGGTTGTTGGTCTGGTTTTGACTAGGTCCCCGCCGGCCTCAGCCTCGCATCTGAACCTTCTTAGGGTTTTGGTCATGCATTGGTTGTTGTTCAACCTACATGAATCCTTTCCTAAACCGATGGGGAGTGGATGTCAAGCTACCAGTAACTAGAAGCTACTAGGTTGGAGGCCATTGCTATTAATTAGGCTGGAGGCCATTACTACTAGTAACAAGAAGCTACTAGTAACTAGTCAAAGGCTCTGTTACTAGTAGCTTTCTCGCCCTTCAAGTCGCCTGGATGTCGCAGAAGAAGATTGTCACTTTGGATGGTATACATCCTGAGAGAATGCAATGCTGCAAGGAAGGCCCAGATGACTGCGATTGGCGCTTTCAGTTGTGCTCTTGTTTCTTCCAGCATCTCCGTACCTCGCCATATCCTTTCTTTCATCATTTGGTGCCGTGCAAGTGTAAATTTTGTGGCAGGCGCAGCAATCTGTGAACCACTCATATGTGTGCTCATACTTTCACGTGAGTGCTCTCATATGTGAGTCCAACCTGCTCAACCTGTTCTGGCCAAGGCACCGATGTTGGCTTCGACTCCTGCATTCATCACTTGCTTCAATAGGATCACCTCAAAGGCAGCTCTCTTTCTGCGTAAATCTACAGTAGATTCTACTATGTTACATGTGTATACACACTTGAATTCACGCATTGCTTACAGCAGTAGACATATACATTCTACATACATCCATACGATCATGTGTGAAAGGAGTCGTCTCTCTTTTCACGGGGAACACTGGAAAGTGATCTATACCTCGCCACAAAGTGCGGGCGAGTCTTGGGTTCTCGTGTCATCAATATTCGCGCCAGCCCGGCGATGACAATTGCACAAATCCATGGCATCTTTTGTTATACACTAACCGCGTAAGACAGAAACCATGGCATCAAAGAAAGAACATAACACATGTAATAATGTCATGTAAGTATGTGGAAGGCACACCATCGCATCTTCCTGCAGCAAACCCAAAAAATAATGAAAGGATTTTGGCTGGTCCTCATCTTCAATCAAAAACCTTTGTACATGGGCCAACTATTCGGCGTCCAAAGCTCCCCGACGGGCACATACTTGGACCATGCAATCATCGCCTTGGTTGCAGTAACCGAACCCTTACAGTTCAACCCTTTCGATTGTGCAAATATGTCACAAACTACTTTCCAAGTGTTCACTCTATGCCCTTCTAGATTGATAGGCTGGATGGTCAAGAAAACTTGCCACAACACACAAAGAGGACTCAAACGGTTTGTGTTTCATCCGCAAACATCCATCTAACATCCATCTGATTGTCCTGCAAGTGACAACAACAAGTTCAGAACGGATTCAAACTGTGACTTTGGCGGGGCTTCCAAGAAATCTCGAGTCATCAACCATTCAGCCATTCAGCTATCAGAAATTCAAGCGACCAAATATATAAGTCCTATAAAGTCCTTGACTTCTTTTTGTCGTTCGTCCTGAGTTTGTTCTGTCAGAGTCCTCTCTCTTCAGCGCCCCACAGACTCCAAAAGGGCCATGGCTCTCCGCAGGCCCAGCAGCTCTTGTGCCACCTCAGCTCTGGGCCTCTTACACCTCTTTCTTCTTTCATGTGTTCTGTTGTGCCTCATCTATTTTCATAAGGACTTCGGGGTTCTTGGCTTTCTGAAAGGGCGGATTCTTTGACACTCTTCCCTCGTTTTCTGTTGCGACCTTTCGACTCTTCCGTGTGTCAGAAATTTGCATATCATTGGTGTCAGCAACTCAATTTTATGATTTCTAGACCATTGTGACACTTGTAGGCTAAGTGGAAGAAAATACATGTACAAAGTAGTCAGAGAGGCATTTGGTGTTGTTGGATGCAAAAACCTATGTGGCTTAAGGCTCCAAAATACAAAGTGTTGATCTTCCACGACTGGATATATCAGAATTGAAATGGTTGTTTAAAGCCCGTGGCCCTGCCTCCTTACTGAATTAAGTAGAGACTGCCTACTGAATTAAGGGAGAGGAGAAGTTCGCTCCTAGGAACAAGTGCCACGCTAGTAGTAACAAATGCCTTACTAGTAGTAACAAGAAGCTACTAGGAACAAGTGCCACGCTACTAGGAGAAGTTCGCTCCTAGGAACAGGGCGCAGGATAGTGCGCGTTTCTTCAAGGAAACTCCCCGGGCCTGAGGGCTGGGGGAAGCTTCCTTGAAGAAGCACTCGCACTATTCATTTGGTTCCTAGATAATTACGGAAACTTAAGAGAGATTGCTTACAAGTATAGCAAAGAATCAGATCACAAACCCAGAAGAGATTCTCGGTCTGTGCTTTGGAGAATATGCTCTGGTGTTCCATTGCTTTTGGTGTCCGATGTTTTTGGTTTCTTGTTGAACACTGAAAAATCACCTTTGAAGAAGAGTTCATCGGACTAGTTGCTAGTTGATTGCTACGACATGTGAAAAACAATCCTGATATTAGCTACAAAGCATATCCCGACAAACTCTACTCCAAACGGCCAGTCTGCGACCAACCTGAAATGACCAAGCAAACCCAACAATCGACAAAGAGAATTTCGTCCTGGGAGCCCCCACTGGGACGGGGGCAAAGGCCTTGCATTGACACCTGCTCCTGCTGGTAAAAGAAGCAATGCTCACAGAATAAACGCAGTAATTTATCCACTTGAGCAAAACAATCATTTGCTCGCCGCGTTTCTGCTTCTCTATTCTTGACAAAACAAGGCATGCAGGTATGTCTCAGTCTGAGGTTCCTCCAGATCTTACCTTTCCCGTCCATTGGACAAGAATTCCGCTTGCAAGGATCTAGAGATTCAATGAGATTCAGAGGTTCCAGAGTTGCATCTTCTGACCCAGCAACCTGGTCTCTAGCTCTTCAGCCGCTTCTGGCACTTGCTCAATCCTAGGTACAGCATGGAAACTTTCAGAAACTACGAAAGTGAAACAAGTTGCTTTCGTCTTGGGTCGAGCATTGAGCATGGCAAACATGTGTAGGCCATGTTCATTGGAACCTGAATCTGTTCTGGAAAGGAAGTCTTGTTTGCCGAAGGCAACACCAGCGTCCGTGCTCCTAGTAGTAAGGCCAGGAGCCACTAGTAGCATGATTGTTCCTAGTAGCGATGCCCTTTGCTCCTAGTAGCGTCCTTGTTCCTACCCCCCCCATGCGCGCGCGCGAAAAGATCCTAGTAGCCTTCTTGCACTACTAATTCTAATTTGAATTCTAATTGCACTTAATTCTAATTAAATTCTAATTTGTATATTGTTTACTACTAGCTTCTTGTTACTACTAGTAAGGCACCTGTTACTACTAGCGTGGCACCTGTTTCTACTAGCTTCTTGCTACTAGTAAGGTCCTTGTTCCTAGTAGCAATGCCCTTTGCTCCGTTCGTAGCGTCCTTGTTCACCGAGAGAATGGACGGAGAGATGAATGAAGAAGATACGGACACGAGAGGAGAGTTTCAAGAGAGGAGGAGAGGAAAAAGGGAAAGAAGTGGAATCATCCAGAGCAGCAGAAGAAGAAGATGATGATGAGTATTATTAGATATTATTGTACTATTGGTATTATTATGATATGTTGCTTTTGAATTGGCCGCTGTGGCGGTGGCAGAATCTCAGAGTGCGGTGCGGGTGAAGACTGTGCCAAGAAAGCGCTCGAAAGTGTAACATGATCTGAAGAAAACAAAAGAAAGTCAACGTGATATTCGGCACTAAAACGATCCTCAAGGACGCTACTAGGGGCTCCTGGCCTTACTACGAGGAGCAAGGACGCTAGTAGAGGCTCGTGGGCTTCGCAGCTCTGGTTTGGCAACTCGACACGCGTTTCGGTAGATCGCAGATTCTGTTCGGTCTCCGCAACTCTTGTTCAACCTGGGATCCGGGGTTTCGGCGGTTTCGACAACTGTCGTACAAATGTGGGTGAGTTTCGGTTGAATGTGGATGTTGTACAACAGTTAATACCGCCAGGCGCATCGAGGCGCACGACAGTCTTTCAAGGCGTGTTTGTTGATGTCCATTGCCTCGTTGAGGGATCACGTTACCACAAATTTGTCATTGGGAGGAGCACCATTCTCTCACTTCAGGTCTTGACGAGCTCATCCTTGGCCAAGCCCTTGTCGAAAAGCCGCCACATGCGCTGGGCAAACTCCAGTGCCAAAGCAAACCTTTTTGCAGGCCTTGCTTGCATGTAGACTGCGCGAAAAAGAGGAATCTGTAGTGTGCAGCGTACACCATCACATGGCTTCTTACATGTGAGCACCTGAAGGCAAAGCGACGGTGATGTCAACCCTCTCCGGTGTTTCCACCAGATTTGTCATGTGTGATAATCGATTTTAAAGGAGAGCAAGTCGGCGCCCAGCATCATGAATAACATCATCTAGAGACAATGACTAAATGTTGTGAAATCGATGACTACTGTTGTCATATGGATGAAGCCATAGCCGGCTGACATTCCCAGTTGCTGAAACCGACGGTTACCAGTTGCGGAACCGCAGTTGCTGAACATGACGTCATGTTCCTTTTATTTTCTTTAAAAAAAGAACAATAACATCTTGACTTCAAAGTCGGAATCGAGCCCACGGCATCGCTGGGCGCTTTGGGCTGCCCGGCTTTCGGACACCAGAGCTACTGTTGGTGGTGATGAGCTCGATGAGTTTCATGGCATTCATGTCCTGAGTCGCTTGAGCCCACTTCCTTGTGATCCATTTCACCAATCCGTTTTCTTTGCCCAAAAGAGCTTGTTTGCAACAAGTTTGCCAAATCGGCTTCACATACCAATTCGGAAGGAGGGAACGGTATGGCCCTAGCAATAAGACCTTCACCTGTCCATGTCGAATCAAAACGGAAATGAGTATTCACGGTCTTGCTAACATGGCGAACTTCTCTTTTCCTGCTGTCACTACATACTTGTCAAAATACTAGGAAAACATCTCTCTGCTATAGTTGAAAATGTTGTGTGGGTCCTCCCCTTTTTGAGACAAGCAGACCCATCTCTAATCTACAAATCTTTCTGCGTCAAGTACCGCTCGTTGCGGCTTTCTTGGGAACCCCCACGTCCATGAGATCCCACAAGGGATGCAAGCAATTGTTGCTTGACCTGGGGAGAGGACAAGCCAACTGACGCTCTGGCAGCATGGGAGAGGCTGGATGATAGGCTTGAGTCGTACCACGTTCAGTGACCCTCGGAGAATTTGTCAGGGTACAGAGACTTTGCATAGCTAGAAGCTACTAACCCTGCAGAACTCTCGTGAAATGGTCTCACCACTGGGCGCGTAGGCATCGCCTACTTAGCCTCGACGAGCTATTCTCAGTCCCCAAACGATCAACAGGATAGGCATTGGTTCCTAATAGCGTCCATTGCTCCTAGTAGTACGGCCAGGAGCCCCTAGTAGCGTCCTTGTTCCTAGTAGCGGTGCCAGGAGGCCCTAGTAGCGTCCTTGTTTATAATTTAATGGATGGCACACCAGGTGTGCTGCTGGAATATAGTGTTGCTCGAGATCCTGGGCCGAGATCCCCCTCAATTGTCGCACATCACTCTCACCGCGCTGCATATGGATGATGTCAGCGGAGAAGTAAAGCATCAAGATGGCCAGCATTGCCACCACCTCAAGGTTCATCGTAGCAATGATCGAGAGAAATGAGAAGGTTTCTTTAAGTCAAACAAATGTCTAGTAAGAAAGGAGCAAGAAAAATGGAACAAAAAATGTCTGGTTCAGCGAGGGTTTTAGTGCGTTCTTGCTGCTAGTAGCTTCCAAGATTCCTAGCTACTTGCTAGCTTCACTGTCACCGCTAAAAAAAGAGAAAGAAAAGAATGAACTAAAGAAAGAGCTAGGAGGTTGGAGGCCATCGCTCTTAGGTTAGAGGCCATCGCTATTCGGTTGGAGGCCATCGCTAGAACGAACTAAAGAAAGAGAGAAAGGAAAGGAAGAAAGGTCCAAAGGTCTAGAGAAAGACAGAAAAGAACATTGAGTCGAATTCGTGGATGTCCTTGAATCTATGTTGAATTCCAAAGGGCGTTGCTTCTCTAAAGCCTTAATACTTGTCTGACGTTTTCTGTCTTTCAGTATGTCTTTCTTTCTTTGCTTCCTGCTTTGTCTTTTTCTATATCTTCTGCAAACCTTTAGACCTTTCATTGTTCTTTCTTCCTTTCTTTCGTTTCTCCTACGGCAAACTCACGAGAACGCCAAGGTTGTGACCGACAGTGTAAACTTCAAGCTCTCAGCAGCTTCGTACCGCCATTGCCTCAGCAAGTTCATTGAGCAGCGATTCCATCACGTTGGAGTAAGCATGCTGTCCCAAGAAAACACGTTCCAACCTGATTCCACTAGGTTGGAAGCCATTGCTAGATTGGAGGGGGAGGTCAGGCCAAAACACGTATTGCAGTTGGCGTGGTGACAGGACTGGCTCTGCTAGATCTCTAGTGGACCGTCTCTACTGGCATAATTTGGCATATGATCTAATCTAGCAAGATAAAGAAAGTTGAAATCCTATTTGTTGCAGCTCACTGCGGCTAGTCTATAAACCCACTAGCCTCAAAGCTTAAAGAAAGAAACATACCAAGCAAAGAGAGGATGAAATCTTCGGCTTCCCTCATTTCCAGGCCCTGATGGCTCTCAAGCAAGACCCGTGGATGCGTGCGTGTGCGATAGAATCTCCGAGGCCCCCAGACTGGTGGATGTCGAAGACACCAAAGGTCGAGAAGTCATTCACCTGTGACATGCACACTTTTGTTACTACTAGTAAGGCTCCTGTTACTACTAGCGGCTACTAGCGTGGCACTTGTTACTACTAGCTTCTTGTTACTACTAGCGTGGCACTTGTTACTAGTAACAAAAAGCTATGCTTGGCTCATCAAATCGAACAAACGTTGTCCGACTTTTCCCAAGCAAGGCCGTCGCCGTCGCCCTCTCAAGTCGGTCCCAAGTCTCCTCGTCCCTTCGGCCTGCGGTTGTTCCAATAAGATCTCATGGGCCTCGAAGCCTGGCTGAAGGGAGGAACAACTTGATTAGGAAAAAACAAGACGAAGCAAGATATCTTTTCAATAAATGAAAGCAAAAACAAACATACTTGTTGTGATGCTGCCAAAGGCAGGGGAATGTAATTTGTCTGATGCCAACGGTGCCGTCTAAAGCACTCATTTCCCTCAAAATCTACGAACCATTTTGTGCAGGCAAAGTTCTCCGACCTTGCTACTAGCTAGCCATGACCTACCCCCTTTCCCTGGAAATGTCATAACATGTTGCACAGAACCGCCTGTGGAATCTACGGCGTAGTCGATCAGCTTCAATGCCTGAAGCCGATGAATGTCGAGCTTGAAGCTAAGATCTGGAAATTCAGACTTCTCAGGACTTGAATCTTCAGACTTCAACATGTCTCAATACCACAAAGAAAATGAAGGTTTCTTGCTCTTCGGATCTCAAGTATCTCAAAGTACCTTGGATGTTCCATTTCTGCCCTGAAGAGATTGACTTCGTTCGATTTTCAATCACCAGTCCTGGTCAAGGCTAGAGATAGACCGATAGGCGCCACCACAGCATTTACACCTCAAACAGCTGGAGGAGTGAACAGCAGTGGGGTTCTTCAGACTGACATCATACCTCGCATCATCCCACGTCATACCACTCCGAACTTGCGCTGACCAACTCAGAAACAACTTTACCTCACCTGGTAAAACACTTTGCTTGGAATGTCCAAAGAGTTCAACGCCCATATTCAACACGGTACGGTATGGCTCAGTGGGTGGGTTCCGTGGGGACTGCATGTGTGTGTGTGTGTGTTTGTGTGTATTCCAAAGCTCTTTGTAGTTCTTCCAGGCAAAGCATAGCAAACATCAACACATTAGGTTGGAGTAGGTTGGAGGCCATTTCTATTAGGTTACTTTGGCTATTAGTAACAAGAAGCTACTAGGGGCTCCTGGCCTTACTACTTGGAGCAAGGACGCTAGTAGGTTGGAGGCCATCGCTCTTGGCATCAACTGTACTCGAGACTTGAGGACGGCCATGGATCCTTTGGGCCAGCGACGTCTCATTCCACCAGACTCGCCGGTTGACGACCTCGGTCACTCAGACTCAAACAGGACCTGTGTTGTTTGGTTCATCGTCGAAAGCTAGTAGCTGTGGTGTTCCTAGTAGTAAGGCCAGGAGCCCCTAGTAGCTTCTTGTTCCTGCTTTTACCAAGTCTTGGCTCATTCACTGGGAATGTCCGGCTGCAACCCCTTTGACTCGACGCTTCCCACATCTGCACTGCCCGGACCAGCGTGATCAATTTGCAGCGCTGGAAGCTATTGACCTGAGCCGGAGCGTGTGTAAAGGAACGAGTGTCATGCGTTTGTTTAGAGACCAAGCGCCATAACCACATCTTTGCTGCGCTTAGGCTCATTCTTTGATCTTATGATCGACTCACATGCTGAAAAGCTATGGCATCCCGACAAAGTGGTCTCTCGCCATTGAGCAAAACACGTCTTCTGACGCTTCCTGTCCAAGCGGGGAAGCGGTCAAACCAGCTTCAGACCACGGCCTAAGGCCTTTGCTCAATCGGTGGAAAGGATAGTTGGCCAACCCGCAACGCCGAGAAGGCTTGCAAGTACAAGACGTGTGACTCAAAACGCTTATAGCACGGACGCTACTAGGGGCTCCTGGCATCGCTACTAGGAGTAAGGACGCTATGAAGTGACCGTCGGCCCGAAAACGGGTGCCTCCGAGTCAATGACCTGCAGTTGTGCCAAGCCCTGCTTTCGGGCAAGCTCCTAAGGTCACGGAAAGCATCCAGAAAACGGGAACCACGAACCAACAAGACGTGAGGGCGTAGCTGTGTTTCAGGTCTTTCATTGCGTTTCTAGTAGCGGCCTCCACTAGCGATGACCATCAAACCTACTAGCAACGCTACTAGGGACAAGAAGCTACTAGGAACAAGTGCATCGCTTCTAGCAACAAGTGCCTTACTAGTAGTAACAAGGACGCTACTGGGAACAAGTGCAGTTGTTTTTTCAGGTGTGGATCTCTGAGGCCCAGGCCGGAACTGAACCGTCGACGAACTGCATCATGAGCAGCAGCGCCAAAACCTCAGTCCGAGATGAGAAAGGATGACTTTGAAGACAAGTCCATCGCTAGTAGGTTGGAGGCCATTCCTATTAGGTTCTCCATGCTCCGTAGTGGCAAGGTTTGAACAGAAACCTATCGCAACGTTCCCGTCGACCGTCGAACACAACAATACCTTGGGCCGCTTGTGCGAGGTGTTGTACACAGAAACAATGTTGCCCTTTTTGACTAGTAGCGTTCTTGTTCCTAGTAGTACGGCCAGGAGCCCCTAGTAGCGTCCTTGCTCCTAGTAACTAGTAGCGATGCCCTTTGCTCCTAATGTTGCACTTCTTTTGTCAAAACTCACAACCAATATGCTACAACGATGCTACAACGCCCTGACATCTTCGATATCTTCGCCGCTCAGTACGACGGTTCTACTCCCATTCAGACTGTCAGACTGTCTACGAGTTCGACCATTGTGCTGCCAAGGCACTATGATACAAATTTTGAGAATCAACCCGAGCATAGACTGGTAGAGCACTGTACACGACGCCTGGAACAGAACCAAATGAAAACAACAAACATGAACCTTGAGAAGAGAAGTCCATCGCTATTGGGTTGGAGGCCATCACTATTTGTTTCTCCATGCTCCGTGGTGGCAAAGTCATGAACATAAAGCTTTTCGGTTTCAGTCCGAGTCTTTCTTTCCCTAGCCTCAGTGCAGCTCGTGCCTTCATCATGGTGATATCGTCCAAGCAACGGCGAAAGGCTCTTTTGCCCATGTCCATGTCCCAGCAAGATCGGATCTGGCCACAAATAGGTCGATAAGAGCAAAAGTAAGGACAGTGGACTCTCTCCCTACCATAGTCAAAAAAGAACGGGTCCCAGTAGCCGTGTTCCGATGGTGACTGGCGTGGAGGAGATCGCTATCAAAGTGCGCAGATTCTTTTGCAGACTGTCTTAGTCTGCAAAGTGATGCAACTCTGCGACTCCCACCTCTATACTATAGCGACTAAAGTCTGCTTCCTCAACCTGGCGCGAGGGAACAAAACGACAGAGAGCGAATGTGAACTTCTCTGGAATCGTCACCTCTACACAACGCAAACAAACCAACCAACATGCCACCCTCAAGCCCACCGCTCTGCATACCGTTCAAATGAAGGGAATAATAACCCCTAGTGTTAATTCATGTTGTCTGCCCACACAATTGCTGCCTCGACTGGAGGGGTCAGCTGATGTCAACCAACATGACTTCTTCGCACAAATCTTCAAGTGGGATTCAAGGTGCCAATCAGACAAACACCCTGCAAAGTCGTTAAGTTTTGTAGGTTCCCTCCTGCCCCATCACCTTGAACATTGCTCTTATATGAATCATCTGAAACGGCTTCACATTTTATGTGGCTTGGAGGCATTTTTGGATTGCACGGCTGTTGGAAGCTGTCACTCGACTCGGCCTGGTGGGAACTCCTCCAAGCGAGTAAGGTCCGCCCCCAACTCCTCAACCGCTCAGGCAACGAGTTCAACAAATGCTGGTCGTGTAGGCGGAATGCCTTCTGTCAGCACTTTTGTTAAATCTGATGATTTCAGAGGAAGGAGGGGTGAAGTCAATCAAGAGTGCTTGCATTGGTTTAAGTTGACTTAATGCACTCAGGCCAATCCCGCCTGGCAGTCGCGGCATAACTGGACTCCTGGATCAGCTTTGATATTGCAATTGAGCTGCTTATTTTGGGGGATGTCAGGTATCAACAAACCAATCTAGAAGAAAGGAGAAAATACAACAAAATCGTGAAGAGCTCCAAATAAATCCAAATCACAATTTCACACGGGGCCACCAGGCGGACCACCAGCGAAAGAGTCCACACAAGCGACCTTTTCAATCATTCGACTAGCAGGATCGATGTCAAACATCGAGTTGAAAAGCATCAGCTGCTAGGAGCAAGGATGCTAGTAGTAGCTCCTGGCATTACTACTAGAAACAAGAAGCAAACAAAACAGAATCAATCAAATGTCCTGGATCCTCTCCAATATCCACATGAATTGGTACTTGTCCTGAAAGCGCGCTCGAAACTGGAAAGAAGAACAGCAGGGCCACTTGAGCTGGTTGCAGCAAAAGTCACACATGTTGTGATGCTCAGACAGCTCCAATCCACTTCTTTCGATACTTATGATGCCTGAAGAAGCTTCGACAGAAACTCGATTGCTCCTCCTCCGGTGGCTTGGGGAATTCAAGTCTCAACGCCTCGAGAGCCAGTAGAGTAGAGATGCACTTGTTCCTAGTAGCTTCTTGTTACTAGTAGTACGGCCAGGAGCCCCTAGTAGCGTCCTTGTTCCTAGTAGCGATGCCAGGAGCCCCTAGTAGCGTCCTTGCTCCTAGTAGCGATGCCAGGAGCCCCTAGTAGCGTCCTTGCTCCTAGTAGCGATGCCAGGAGCCCCTAGTAGCGTCCTTGCTCCTAGTAGTAAGTTGTTGTTTGAAAAGTGTTGGATGTGTCCCAAGACCTGGATCTGGTTTGCCTTGATGAGCTCCAAACTAAAGAGAACCAAGGAACACCCCCGACACACCCTAATTTTCATATGACTGGCTAGTCATCCTCGTGGGATCGGTTTGGCCCCAGGCTGCAGTGAAGAAGTCCATGTCTTCATCCTGAAGCTGAACAAATGTTCAAAATGACAAATCCATGAGCTCAACAGGAATACAACCAAGGAGTGAGCATGATGTTTGTGCTAACGGAGTCTTTTAGGTTGGAGGCGATCGCTAGTAGGTTGGAGACCATGCCTATTAGTTTCCTTTTGCTAAAGCGGCCCTCACACGGCTCACACGCACTATGGATCCCCCTGAGTCCAGCCACCGAAAGTTCGCCGGTGCCCTCTGTGTCGATGTACTGGCAAAGAAAACGCATACCGGTACCCCGGATCTACCGGGAACCCGGCTATGGCATATAGTAGCTTTATTGTTACTACTAGTAAGGCCAAGAGCCCTGTTCGTAGCGTCCTTGCTCCTAGTAGCGATGCCAGGAGCCCCTAGTAGCGAACATTGCTCCTAGTAGTAGCGATTCGACTTGACATGTTTGATGTCGACATCTTCTCGACAAGAAGAAACATGTCCAAGTCCACCCCTGCGACATTCTGCAGGCGTTTGTGCCACATCCTTGAGTTCCAAGCTGAACTGGGGAAGTCGACCATTCACAAAGAAAAGCTCACCAGACCTTTCGACCCGACATTTCGACCTGACCCAGTCGACTTCACTTGGCTCTGGACAACGTCGCCAATTCTTTGGTCCCGCTTTCAGTCAAACGCTGCAATCGCGGCAGCAACTTGAGTATCTGCGCAGCTGTGTTGAGAGGCAAAAGGGAATTAAATCGGGTCATCACCATTTCCATGCAGGACATCGCTACTAGGAGCAAGGGCATCGCTGCTAGGAGCAAGGACGCTACTAGGGGCTCCTGGCATCGCTTCTAGTAACAAGTGCCTTACTACTAGGAGCGATCGGACGCTACGAACGGAGCAGTAGAGCAGAGGCCACCGCTAGGTTGGAGGCCATCGCTCTTAGTTCACGGTGCAAGCGGACGAACAGGAGGCGACCCCGCTAGTAGTAACAAGAAGCTATTAGAAACAAGTGCCACGCTAGTAGTAACAGGTGCCTTACTTTACTAGTACTAACAAGAAAGCTACTAGTACTAGTAGTCTCATAGGCTCACCGAACAGCCTGCCAGACTCTCAGACTTCGGAGGATGCTTATCAATCCTCGAGGTGTTGCGATGGATGCCGATGGTGCTGCTTGCAAAGACAGGTTAAACACGTGTTCACTGCGTGTTCTCATATGGAACGTCATAGATCAAACATCCATGTGTGTCATCCAACTTGTTCAGACCACTGGTACTTCCCAGTGCCCCCGTGTGGCTTTGTGAACAAATCAAACTCCAATGGTACACTCCTTTTATGTTGGCACAAATCTTGCCCTTTAATTCCACCTAATAGCAACTCCAACCTAATAGCAATGGCCTCCAACTAATAGCAAAAGGAACCTACTAGGAATCGCCTCCAACCTACTAGCGACGGCCTATAGTAATTCCATGCAACCGTTCCTCCATCTTCCTCCTTATGATTCTCTTACTCACCCTGTGAACTGCTAGCGTCCGTCTTCTGCTTGAGGCAAGAGGCTTGTTGATCGCCCTGCACCTCTCATAGCTCGGGTTGTCCTCGTGCGACGGAATTGGTACGTCCATGGTACATGTCTCCGTCAGCACCACCAAAAAAATGACTTCCTTGACAAATATTACATGAATGGAGGCCATCGCCAATAGGATGGAGGCCATCGCTCTTACTCCCCACCTCTGCCGTACCTGTAGCTCCCGTCTACGCGTGGACATATGTTGTGCCTACAAAACTGTAGTAACAAAATTGCACAAGGACAGTCTTCTCGACAGACTGCCACTAATGTCACTAGTGCTCAGCTTGACTCCTCATCGCTACCGCTGCATCAGTGCGGATAATCTCCGCAGCTATCTGGGTGAGGCAAGCGTATCGAGATGTGTCTCGGACTTGGTGAGTTTGCCCTCCGTGACCAAATAATCTCCGTCGTGTGCTTCCTATGCGTACTGCAAACAGTCGCTTCCGAGTATGAAAAAATACACGGTTGGCAAATCCGATGGGATGAGCTATTGGTAGTCAACGAACATGGTCACCTTTTCTTCCATTGGTGTACTTGTCAAACGTTGTCAGGCCCAAAAAGGCAAGGCTCCAGATCCACAGCCCGTCTGCGGCTTTGTAGAAAAATGCTCGGCTAACTTATGCTGACTCACCCCAAATGAGATCCGCACCGCAGTGTCTCCGAGGATACTGACGGTAGCACCTCAAGAGGAAAAGTCTGCAAAAAGGAAACAAAAAAATAACTAATCTAAAAGCGATGGCCTCCAACCTAGTAGCAATGGCCTCCAACCTAAA